AGCATGCACACATGAAACTTTCAAGATCTTTGGTTTCAGGATCCTAAATCCATCAAAATTCGTTGATTGTTCAGGAAGGTCAGCATTGTTAAGCACCCCTATATACTTTATTAATTTTTATTATACTTTGTTGAAGCAAATGGTGGCAGCTGCGAAAACTGACAGGTCCTCGTCCATGCTTCATCGTCGAAATCTTCCATTGCAGTTGAGCTCCGAGGAGGGCCAGTCCTTGATCCTCGCAGGTTTCGAGATGTGTAAATTGGTGTAGATTTTGCCAACAAATAGATACAAATAGCAGCAAACAAAAGGAAACAGAGGGAAGAAATACAAGAAACATCAGGAAACATGTGTTTATTGCGGTTTGGCATGTTTTATCAATGACATATATGACATACTTTGAATATCAATGTCCCTCAATATTTTCAACGGTGCGGAGCAAGGGACGCGAAATGTGACATTTGAGATCCAATGGTGTCCCTTACGAATGCACAACCTCTCCTGTGACACTTGCAATATATTTCACCGAAACTGGTTGTTAAATGAGTGCAAGAATAATTGTTCAAGCGTGGAAGAGCAACATTGCGGAGGGCTTCGAGAACGAAGCCTCCAACCCTTTAGCATTTGTTTTTGATGACCTTTGTGTGTGTGTGTCCGTTGAATTATTGTTTGCTTTGTCGTGCGGTCGTCTATCTTCACTGGTCCTCAAGTTGTAGAGGGTCACGAGCAATTAAAGCAAGTCTCCTTGGAAGTTTAAGGTCTCACAAATGTCTGCACACGCAAAGTTCTGCTCTGTAGCAAAGTCCAAGGAGAGAAATGTTAATGTTTGTTTCCAACTCCCAGTGTCATGCGTTTGTAACCATTGCAAGCATGGCCCAGCCGGGCACTGCCAATCGGATTTCGCTAGGACAAAGACCTCTCGAGCCTTTCGCATTATGACTTGGTGACGTGCGCCCCATCCCATCACTGGCCAAAGGATGAGCCTGACCAGATGTCACACTCTGCTGTTACACACTATGCCGAATTTATCAATGCCCAAATTGATGTGCGTTTCAGGTGGCAAATTGAGCAGGTTCTGTGCTTCACCACGGAACCATGATACATTATCCTCCAATATTTGTCAGTTTTCGACCCTAAGACAATGTGAGCATGCCGCATGAGGCAACGGGATGTGACCTCTATTCCATTGTGCAAATTGTTGAATAGCTTCTCCCCTCCAGCCCTTAGATCGTCTTAGATATATTTGAAGTTATACGTCAATATACGTCATCATTAATCCGTATAGCTTGAGCAGCCTATGACGACGTTTTTCTTCGCAAGAAGACTTGCAGAGACATTTCCGTGACTGGAACCTTTGGCACCTGTGGATCAAAGCATTTCCTGCGGCGGATCATGCCATCAGAGGGTCCAGACCTTGCAGGAAGCAGAAAATGTTGGAAAATTGGAAAACGTTTTTTTTTTGCAAAATTGGAAAATGTTGGATTTCCGGATGTCATCATGTCAATTCAGTCAATTCATTGCGATTCCAGTGATTCCAGTGATTCCGTGACGGCCGCAGTGGATGTTTGGTTGAGGCGCGATGGAGGCGCCTCGTGATGGACGGCGTCCGGCGGAGGCCGAAAACCCAATGAGTGCTCAAAATCTCTGGTTGATGAATTTATGCCGCGGTACCGTTCCCAAAATGTCGGCAATGATCATCCATGAACTGAGAATCCCCATTAGCTAGCCTTGATTTTGGAGACAGGCTTTTGACACCGGTTTTTTGGAGGTTATGGTGAAATGTCAAATCGAAGTGGAGGTTCTGCAGCCTCAGGCACCGGAACAGATGGTGTGGTTTCCCGTGCTCCCAGCCATGTCAGACGAGGTGCGCCAAGTGTTCAGGAACATGATAGCATGTTGACAGCAGATTGACGGCATGTAACAGCGTGTGCCTGGTTCCAGGATTCAAGGACAGTCGAAGCACTTTCATCTGCAGGAACGCTTCAAAGTGTAGTCACAGGAAATTCTAACAATCTGCCACCATGTCATAATGTGTCAATCTTTTTAATTTAGCTTCAGTGGCTTCATTCAATGTGGGAGTTTGTAAAAACCCTGCGCCTGTTCGTTTAGTCCTCCACGATCCCCCATGAGCCATGTTTAGCTTTCGCTCGAAAAACGATAAGAGGAAAACACGATAACATCGGCTATGTTAATGATTTGTGTCCAGACTCTTGAAATCCAAAGTTCTTGATTTTTCCATCATTCTGCGGCTATTTAGTGCTTTTGGTCTCTTCCTTTCATTTTTTGTTGTCGTAATGGTGCAGATTCTGCACAAGGAAGATGCCCGGTAGGTGGTCGCTACACTCCTTTTTTGATGATTGCAACCATTTCCAGAAAAAGAAGGAACACACACACACACACAGGATTCACGAACGATAACGAAAACAATAACTTCTGGCATCAAAAATGGTCCGTGTGAAACACTGCCTTTTTTTGCCTGTTCCTCTCCCTTTCCTCTCCCTTTCCTTTCCTTTTTCCTGTCTCTTCCTCTAGTCTTCTTTCTCCTTCTCCTTTCCTTTTTCCTCTCCTTTTTCCTTTCCTTTTTCCTCCTTTTTCGTTTCCTTTTCCGTTCCTTTTCCTTTCGTTTTCCTTTCCTTTTCCTTTCGCTTTCTTTGTCCTTTCCTTTTCCTTTCCTTTTCCTTTCCCTTTCCTTTTCCTCTCCCTTTCCCTTCCCTTCCTGTACTATTCCTGTTCCCCTTCCCTTTCCTCGCTCATCTGAATTCTTTGATCAAGGTGTGAAGCCAGCGCTTGGAAAACCGATAAGAGGAAAAAAAACGATAACGTCTGGAAAAACCATTTGAAAGGGCTCGGGATTTTTACAAACCCCCATGTCTCTAGTGTTTTTTTTATCCTTAGTCAGGCCAGTCCAAGCAGCCCCTCAGCCGACACGCCTGGTCCTTAATTTCTCTGACAACCTGCGGTAGCACTGTTTGCCCAGGGAATGTTACCGTTGCCACGTTGAAGCTGCAGAGATCCCTAGAGTCTAGATAGAGATTTTTGCAAATACGACTTCAGCCACCTTCAGCCACCTTCAGCCAGCATCCATGATCATCCATGAGGCAAGATGGAGCCGTGCCCCAAAGACGGAAGTTTGCCACCCCAGGTCATGCGCATCCCTTCACATTGCTCAAGTGGTGAAGTTGCGGTTCCAAAACAAACACAGAGGACGGCTGACACCAGATGAAAGTGATGAAAGCATATGAAAGCTTTGATGGTAACTTTGATGGTAACGACAAGAAAACAAAATCATCAAGCTTACCAGGGCCGTTCACATCCACTTCCGAGGTCCACCTTCCCCGGGCAGGCCAAAATATTGCAGGAAGCACAACAAAGGTGGGGCTGTTTGTCAAATTTTGTCAGGCATGTTGGAGAAACATGGAGAAACCACTGTTGGTATGCTGTTGGTACACATTGGTTAGATCAGTTTAGTTTAGTATTCTGATGGTTTTCAATGAAGCTGTCCGATTTGACTCAACCATTTGGACATGTGGATTTACACGGATGGATTTTCGATAATTTTGGTGTCCAACTTTTTCAGGTGCTTAACTCATTAGTATCCCAACCTGGCACCTGACAGGTATTGGAGCCAACAGCTGAAACATGATTCTCATTTGAGCCAATTGAAACGGCCACTTGGTGAAATTCCAGGAAGATTCCCGGGTCTGGAGTTTGGTGGAACAGCCACACAGCAAGATGCTGGAAGCTGTCTGGAAGTTTGACTGTGCTGTTGCCTGAAGCGTTGGTGTCCAAGAGAAAGTGTTCTTTTTGTAACACTACATATATTCCGTGTCACGACCCCAAACCCCCGCCGAGGCAGTATGAAGAAAGGATCATGACCAATCAATCGCAGGCTCCGCAGTTGCATCACGGAAAAAATAGCAGCAGATCTTTGTTGGAGGATGTCGAAGGGTGTTTGGCGATGGTAGCCCACCTATGCTCACCTCCATTGAAGCTGCTGGATGTTGCAGGAACCGCAAGGCGGCCCAAAGCGGCAAGGCCAAGCGTTGCGACCTGAGGACTAAGAACTTAACAGCTGACCCCAGTTGAATCAATGTTCATGAAAGTCGTGTGAGGTCTCCAGAGCAAAGAGCTCAGGAGGACAACGACGAGGCCCGTCGCACAGGGACCAAACCAAAGGCTGCATGGCAGGCTCACCATGTGCTCACCACGTGCTTAGCTTGTGCTCACCATGTTTACCTGTTTGAAGATGTGTGAAGACTTTTTTAGTATTCATAATTTTCACTAGCAAGACAGTACTGGTAATGTGAGAACTTGATTGAACGGTGTCAGGCTGCTGGTCCGAAACTCAGGCATCTTCAACTGGTGACAACATTTGCTACGGCCAAAGTGCCACTTGGGCTGATGACATTTGATAACCATTTGTATCCATATACTGTCCTGTATAACTCAAGACTACAGCATGTGATAGCATGCTACACTCCCAATTGGCAATCGGCAATCCAACTTTAAGAGAATTCAATTCAGAACTACCAGGTAACTACCATGGATACAATCAGAATTACCGAAGACCTCAGTAATTATCTCAGCAAATACCTCTAATTACATGGAGTTACTACATGTAGTAAGCAGATACAGAGCTGGACGCACCAAGGCTCCAGAGAAATCTTCTTTGTTGCAGCCATACCACAAGGCCGCGAAAGCTCCACTCAGCTAATCGCTAAAGCCATAGCCATTCCATAGCTGGTTGTGCATTGTCGGTGTAGTCGATGTGAACTGATGTGAACATATGTGAACCGATTGGAGCAGTGCATTGGTGAAAAAGTCAAGGGTTATGAGGGTTACTTTTCGAATTGCAAGCCGTGGCAGTCAACTTTGTTCTCAAGAACCAGCATAGGGTTGGGGAACGATGAAAAGGTCCGCGCGATATGCAAGCTATAACAAGCCATAGAAGAGAAACGGCTCTGTTCTTTGCCTTCAACACGTTACACTGTTGTGATGACACCAGGTGATCCAGCAACTAGCATGCTGGTCTTGCCGAGCTTTGAGTTCGGCCGGGCGCCCAAGCAGCGCCAGTGCCCAGGTAAGTTCTTAGTACTGCTTGGCTATGGTTACCGTATGTATACCGTATGTTATCGTTAGATATGTTAGGTATTGTTAGATGATTTCAAAATATATCAAACTTTCGAACCCCATGCTGTGGATATTCCGGCAGGTTTAAAGTGTTTCTAAGATCATGCATTTGTCAGGGTATCATGAGTTTGCCGATGTTGACCAGTCAAAACGGCTTGGATACCATCGGGGCATGTTCTAATGAGTCCTTCTTCTCAAGATGGTGAAGACACATTTTTGATCCATGGTGAAATATCAAGAAATATCTCAACTTAGGCATGCAAACTGAACAGGACCGGACATCTAGATGCACTTTACGATGGGTTTGTCTGAAGACAGGGTGCCCCAAATTTTGATGGCTTATTTGTCATGGTTTATCATCATTCTCCCCCCCCTGAATGGCCACGTTTCCCCTATACCCCGACAAAGCCACATGTGGCACCGGAGGCTATTTGGAAGCGCGTGCCGATTTTTGGGGAACTTCACGAGGTCAGGGTGGCAGTGTGGACATGGACTACACTCCGTTTCTGAACATTTGGTGTCAACATGTGTCAAGTAATTAAAGGATCATAAAGGATCTATTGATTTAGATATCATGAAAGATCATTAAGGATCAGTGTGGGGTATTTGTCAATAAATTGATATGATTTGTCTTAAAAGATCTGAAAAGATCTTGAAAGCGTTAAAAGTCGGTTTAAATATCGAAACAGCGCAAAAACAACTCATCCTGGCCAAGCACCTCTCAAAAACTGAGATGGGCTCAGGCGCTTACGAGGCTGGCGAAGCTCACTTAAGCTTGGGTCTTGGAGGAATCCAAGAAACGACCGGTTGAGGTGTGGTTAACCTACGAAAATCTCACGAGAAAAACGAAAAATAAAGTTCAGGAGAGCAGACCAGAACCGAATTGGATTCCCTGGCCTTGGCCGCAACAAATTGTTGCTGTGACGGCTGTGACCCAGACTGTGCTGCCGTATCTTGCGCTTTCCAAGGTGGCTTTGATTCTGAAGTTACTCACCCCGTCCGTCCGGTGTCCCAAGATTTGCCCCAGCTTCCTCGTCGAAAGTCATCCGTGTTTGTGGATGTTTCACATTGTTTCACATTGTTTCACATACTTCACATTGTTTCACATTGTTTCACATTGTTTCACAGTTCCATCAGCGGCTCAGGGCAAGTGAGCCCGGCAAGAAGCATCTTTGAATATCTTTGATGTTCGCCACATGACGCATGCCTGGGTGCTCTGTTACCAACCTGAGATGTCCATCGCCCATCATCACCCATCAACCATGATCTGTTTCACCACGCGGAATTCTCAGGAATCGTCCCATTGGAGTCCCGGGTTCCTGAAGGCAGAGCAGCGAGAAATCAACCAGCAGCAGCAGCAGTTCTGCACGAAAAGATTGGACACTTCTGGAATATTCAGGAATTTTCTGAATGTCACGTTAGAGTGAGAAGACAGCTACGAGCTGGAGAATTTGGACAGTTTGCTGTTGGTACACAATCTATGGAGGTCCGCCGCGATTTGAGAGTCAGCCTGGAAAACTGCTTCTGTCTGCTTGGCTGGTGGGCTTGCCCATAGGTGAGCCAATATGGCTGGCGGGAATGGCCCCCATCTTCCCGTGCGAATTGGAGGTGAAACCCAGCACTGTTGCCACATGTTGCCACCAGGCCATGTTCCGCCACGGAACAATGGGATAATCTATCCAGGACCTGTGGAGTCGTGGGTCACGCCATGGAAATTGCGGCGAAAAAAACATTTTACTGTATTTGTGATGGTCATGTTTTTTGTCATGCTTCGACCAGTTCCTCAAAATGCTGATGAAAAAGTCATGGAAAATTCGAAAGGTGTCTCAATGTTCACCCCAATTGCTAGTGTTGCGAAGCCTGACATTTGACATCGCAGGATCGGCTTGGCTGCAACGGAACATGAGACTAGGGCTGTTCGGCAATCCACACCCTTCATGTTCCCATCGTCCATTTGTCGCTACCACAGACACTTCCAAAGCCCGCTCTCGTGGAGGATCGCAATCCACTCCCCTCAGTGTGAAGCCCAGAATTGGCATCTGATCAGATCAGCAAGTAAGATAAGATAAAATAAGATAAAATAAGTAAAGTGGGTGATGTGAAGTGTGATAGCTTTAGGTTCTAAATGGTTCTACGCGCTTTCAGACACTTTCATTTAGGACTGATAATCAACAACTAGCTCTCTTTCCAATGTCCCTCTTGGTCCCAGTCCATTTTGCTGTGGTCCCTGCTGTAGTCGTCCATTGGTCCATGGGGTCGGTGTCATTGGACTCGCAACTTCAAGCATCTTGCCAGGTCACTCCAATCATGAAGCTGAGTCAAGCTCAGGACCAGGCGTCATAGCATGCTTTGACTGGACTCGAATGGATTCCAATGTATTCGATTGGTACAAAGAAAACCGTTGTGCGATGTTGCGCGGCCAGGCAATGAATGGCAGAAAGTTTGTCGTCTTTTATCTTGAGAAAACTGTGTCGTTAGAGTTGCTAGTCATGTCGAATCAGGGACAGGAGAATGACAGGAGTCAGTTATAATTTATAATGTTGCATCCTTATTAGTAGCTAGGTTCGCTAGTGTGACTAGTATTTTCTTCATTATTCAGAACCCATTGACAGTTTTACTGTTGTGGCAAGAGTTTTTTGCAGACCGTGATGTTCTCAATAAAATGTTTGTGTTCAAAAAAGAATCTTAGCATTTTTTTTAACAATGTTTGTTTGCCTTTTAAAAAAAATCTCTACCAACCTCTTATTAGACCCTTACTAAAGAGCAGCTTTTCCACAAATTTCCAAGGCACTGGACTATGAGAGGGTCCAATTCGCTGTAGTAGGTTTGTTCCCGGGGCGCACAATTGCAGCGAACTTTTCCAGAGCTGATCCTGGAGCCAAGAGAAGAACGAAAAGCCTTTTACAAAAGCAACCTTCGCTTTCTGTTTCCATTTATATGTCTCGTTCTTTCGCTTTCCCTTGTTACACCTTTTATTTAAAAAAGACTTGAGGTGCAAAAGGTAACGCAATCAACATGCTGAACCCCACTCACTACAAGTACTGCAAGTACTGCAAGTGCTACCAGTACTACAACTTCACCGGCAAAAAAACAAGATTTCAATTGTCGCCAATAATTTTTTTCCTTAAATGTATGATTGTGTTTTCTCTGGGGAACAGTTTTTAAAAATTCAACTTTCAAGAGGGTATAGCATTGGTTTGACGCCCAAAGCAGGACGGATTAGTCAGTTGAGGTTTTCATGGCCGCCTTTTCGCAGGGCAGCCGAATCCGTCCCGGCCCCCGCCGGAGCCTACTGTCCGCTGCTTGTCAGCACTCGTTGATTCCTCTACAGGCGCGAAGGCTCTACAACTAGACAGCATATATCAGCATACACTGAATCAGACATTTAAAAAAGCATCCGGTGTTTATATGTTGAACATCAGGTTTTCACACACTCAATGTGTTTAAATTGTGATACTACCAAGCTCGCTGTATCAGGTTTTCCTGATTATCCTCCATCAAAGTTGTTCAGGGTCGACATGATTGAATTGTGAATGAATTGCGCTCTTGGTTTCTACAGTTGCTACAGTTGCTACAGTCTCAAATTGCGTGGCTTAGGGCCTGGACCACCTGTTCAACCTCAGCCGCCAGCAGAGAAGTTCACCCGATACTCGGTAGACTCGGTAGCAATGTTTTTGCAGTATGCGGTATCCATTCCATTGCAATGACAGATTGGTGGTTTGAGAGTCGTGCTCAGCTGTGTAATCAGCTTTGTCTGTGTAATCTGTGTAGCCTGGTGCCAAATCACTGAGGACAGGCAGAAGGGGACCAGGCAGCTCCGCATCCTGTGAATCAAGGCTGGTACCATCACAAATCGTCACGGTCTGCACTGAACCATGTGGGTCAAGACTTCCCAGCCACTTCGCTACAAAGCGAACCAAAGCGAACCACCTGCGTTGCGAAATAACGCAAGTGAAGATTGCAGCTTTCCTTTGCTGTGAGATAAGGATTGCGACGGCTTTTACATGTCACATCATGTATTGCAAAGCCTTGAACTTTAAGAATCTTTAAGGTACTGTATTTAGCGGATTGACCCGCAGGTGTGAAATGAAAGAGAATGATCAGAACATTTCATAACCCACTCAACTACATTTGGTTTGCCTTGCAGAGCCCCAAATGAAGGTGTGGTGAGCATTTGTTTGGTTCCAAGCTTTGAGGATGACAGAAATGGGAGTAGTGGAACATAGTGGAAGATTCAGTGATTGATTCAGTGGAAGATTTAGGGGAACGGTGTGCATCGGTGTGCTGTTCGGCAGGGATCCAAGAGCCAAAGATGGGAGCTGCGCGCGGCTTGCCCAGTGGCGCCCCTGCTAGTCAGGGACTCGGCAATATAGATATACCATGATATACCACGATTCATCACGCATTCACCCTTGATGTGAGAAATTTGATAGTGTATTCTCTTCTTCGGACCAAGTCAAAGACACCCCAGTTGCATCTCTTCACTCAGCCCAAGCTGGACATTTGATGATTTTATCATAGAAGGAAGTTTGGAAGTCAAACTTCCGACAAGATGAAAAGCAGAGCAGGGAAGAGGCAGAGAGAAGAGAAAGATTAGAAGAAAGAAGAGTAGAAGAGAAAGAGTCAGAAGAAAGAAGATGCAGATGCGTGAAAAGGTAGGAAAGTCGCGAAACACGGTGTTTTTCCAATGATTTGGGGGTCCGGAGGGTCGAAAAGCAGGCTCGCTAAAGCGGCGGGGGGGGGGGCCAGCTGGCCAGAGGAGAGATGAAAAATTGCACGCCGTTGTGGCGCGAAGCACATTTCCAAGTCAAAATGTACAAAACACACCACGCTCGGACCACTTTTGGAAGTTGAGATGTTGAAAAAGCGCACGCCGTTGTGGCGCGAAGCACATTTCCAAGTCAAAATGTACAAAACACACCATTGTCGGACCACTTTAGAGATGTTGAAAAAGTGCACGCCGTTGTGGCGCGAAGCACATTTCGAAGTCAAAATGCACAAAACACACCATGTACTGACCACTTTTGGAAGTTAAGATGTTGAAAAAGTGCACGCCGTTGTGGCGCGAAGCACATTTCCAAGTCAAGATGTACAAAGCACACCATGTACGGACCATTTTTGGAGGTTCAGATGTCGTTTGGCGTGGCAGGCGCAAGGGATTGTGCACCTTGTCAAAAGTGACCAAAACGTGAGGGTTTTGTGGCATTTTCAACTACAACCACCACTACACTACACTACACTACACTCCAATACATTACACTACAACTACAACTACACCTTCACTACATTTCACTACATTACACTCCACTACACCCACTACACTCCACTACACTACACGCAATTAGACTCAATTACATTCAATTACACTACACTACATTGCACTATCATTACACTACACTACACTCCACTACACTACATTACTCTACACTACACTACCTTCCACTACACTACATTACACTACACTACACTACATTACACTACACTATACTACATTACACTACACTACACTACCTTCCACTACATTACACTACACTACACTCCACTACACTATACTACATTACACTACACTACACTCCACTACACTCCACTACATTACACTACACCACACTACACTACCGTCCACTACACTTCACTACATTACTCACACTACACTACCTTCCACTACACTACAACTACACAACTACACTCCACTACACTCCACTACACTCCACTACACTGCACTACACTCCACTACACTACACTACATTACACTACACTACGCTACACTACCTTCCACTACACTTCACTACATTACACTACACTACACTCAACTACACTACAACTACAACTACAACTACACTCCACTACACTTCGCTACACTAAATTACACTACATTACACTACACTACACTACATTCCACTACACTACACTACATTAAATTGAATGACGCTGCACCACAGATAGACAGGTAGACAGATAGACAGATAGATAGATAGATAGACAGACAGACAGATAGGTAGATAGATGGATAGATGGATGGATAGATAGATAGATGGATAGATGGATAGATGGATAGATGGATAGATGGATGGATAGATAGATAGATAGATAGATAGATAAATAGATACAGAGGTAGATAGATAGATAGATAGATAGATCGATAGATACATAGGTAGATCGAGAGGTAGGTAGGTAGGTAGGTAGGTAGATAGTCAGAGAAAGAGAGAGAAAGAGAGGAGACATCAATCACCTTTCGATCCAGCAGTGGCTTCGCTCTGCCATCCGTGATTCACAACAACCAACCTTTCCTATAGGTTTCCTATTTTTGAAACTTCCGCCACCTCCTTGTGCGGTACTACTGGTATTCTATCATGGATTGTTGCCAAGTTGTAGATGTTGTGCGTATCTTGCTGAGACAGGGGATTCGGAGTTGACACATGTTGACACTTGATTCAGGTCCTAGCCACCCAGAAAGTGAATGAATAGCTCGCCTACACTTTGCTGCCATGTTATAACATGTTTATTTTGTGGTAGGTCATCGTAGGACAGATTTGTTTAAGGTTCAAAAAGGTGCAACAAGAGAAGGCATATGCGTCATAATATGCAGCATTTCAGGTCAACACCATTCAATTTCAAACATGTCCAAAATTCACATATCGACTCATATCGAACCCGCGATCACCAGCCGACGGATATCGAGGTGCCAGTTGGGACATGCCTGCACTTTGGAGCCAGGGCCTTGGCTGATGTTTGCACCATGGTTTGATCTTCAAAGAATCTTCACAGTATTTTCAGGAGTTTTCAGATATCTTCATGCAGATATCTTTAAATCCCATCTGGCTGTGGGCGCCAGGTCAAGCTGCTTCACGGACACATACTATTTGTTTGCGCCCTACATTCGATTGCATCGCTGCAGCTGTTTGTAAGCAGTTGAACCGAGTGATCCAAACAAGGAATGATCCCTAGAAGCTTGGGCTTAGAAACATGGTCTATCATTGAGTCTATCATGTTCATTCATTTTCATTCATGTTCTTCATTGGCATCCCCGAACAGTAGTAAATCGGCTCAACCCAGCGTCCAGGTTTGGAAGAAGCTACCTGGAATCAGAATCAAGGTGTGACGGACTTGAATAATCTTGACATATCTTGACTAATCTTGGCTGAGAAAGGGACATAAGGGGACTAGTGAATGACATCTCAGTGGCCAGACCTCGTACGCTGCACCGAAGAAAGCACCGGATCAGCTTCAGAAACTGCACGGAGCCAGGTACATTGCCGATCCAAGAAATGGGCTTCACTCCAACCTTGAACGGCGTCGGCAATTCCTTGGGCTCGGGACCCTAATCTATGCATATATGGCATATATGGATGCATATATGGATGCTCATACGCATCACCGCACGAACCATCACCGACATGGACCAACTGCTTGGTGACAGATGGGAACACGATGGGACGATGGGTATCTCATGGCATCTCGGGCATTGTAAGATTGAAATCCGCCCGCTGGCAACAGCGGCAACAACCATTCAAGTATATTCAAGTTGTATATTCAAGTTGTATTGAACCAATCCCAACAGCGAATCAACATGAATCAACCATAATCAACCAAGATCAGCCCACCAATTGGAGGCGGTTCTACACTTCTACACCGCAGTTAACTTCCAGAAAGGTTTGATGTGTGATACCAGGAACTTAACTTCCAGCTCAGTTAAGAGTGCCGCCATTTTTGTGATGTCCAGGTGAGGGTGAGCTCTCCGCTGCAAGCGCTAAACCGCGAGCTTTAGGCACCCGGCATTCCGGCACTGGCTGATGTCATCAGTTATGGTTCATGTTGAATAATATTGAATCAATCTTGAATCAACATAAACTTCATAAACACTTAAACAGGATGAAACAGGTCCTTTGAAAAAGATGCCACAATTGACGAGTGAACAGTACTCGTAGGTGAACAGTACTGGTAGGTAAACAGTGGGAAAATCCTACAAGACAACTTGGCTGGTGAATCCGCCATGCTTTGAACATCGAACCATTTCTTGGCTGATGACTTCGTTCCCAGGCTCCTCGACTACGACTAGTGCATCTCAAGGCATCCCCACTGCCATGCCGGTGCCATCGATGCCGTCGATGCCGAAAACAGGTGCCCAGTGACTCCCTAAACCGATAGCAGGACATGGATCTACATCTTATTACATCTTATTACATGGCAAATGATTTTGAATTATATATATATGGGTTTTTACATGGATTTACATGAATTTGGCATTAGATGGATCGGACAATAACATTGAAGTGATTTCAAGCATACCCATTGTGTGTGTGTGCATCAATATACAATGAAAATCAATGAAACCAAACATGGATTAGCTATCGAGAACCTCAGAATTGCCAGGTGTCGAAGCGATGCGGGCAGAGAGGTCAGATGAGGGGTCGGTTTTGTTGGGAAATTTGTATAAATTGTTGTGCTTGTTGGTAGAAACGGATGATTTCCTGTGCATGTTGCCTTGCAAGTGTATATCCAACCCTGGGACTTGCATTGAATTCCACAATACATACAATACAGACGATTCCTGGGACTTGGGTGAAGATTACAAAGAGGATTGGAGTTCACAGGATGCTGGACCAAATTCGCTGACAGGATTCATTTCATGGCGGATAGGGAAGGTTTGGACTCGTGACTCCGGATGCAACATTCCAGCAGATGCTTCGTTTTTACATCCTCACCCATCCCATCATGCGTCATAGCCTCAAATTTTACCAACAGGGCAGGAATCCCCTGTGAACAGACACATACGCAGTGAAAATCACTGAAACAAGTTTCACATGGATCCTTGTCAAATCGCGTCTCCACATGTCTCCACTTACATGAACGGTCTGACCTAGTTACCTAGTTCTGACCTATTGTGACAGATGACATTTCGATAGATTTCGTTGGTCCACCGCACAGGCCTCCAGTGAAGTCCAGGCGTCCTTTGGAATCCTTTGGAATCCTTTGGATTTGTAACACTTTTGCAACGTTCTCCCACGAAGCAGATGGAAGATGATGGAAGCAGACTCAAGTTATAGGAATCGTGAAGTGAATGACGGCCTAAGGCCTCAAAGTTTAGGATTCAAAACTGAGCTTCAGCTTTGACTCAATTGTGACTCATCAAAGCTTGCTTTCGAGTTGGCAGGCGCAAGATCATCACCGATTTTTGTTGCATTTTCGATGGCTCCTTACCTGAGATTGATACAGACCAGGTAGAGGCGAGGTTTGGGTTTGAGCGAGTTTGCAGAGACATGCCTCACGTTCAAGAGATTTCAAGAGTCTGCCAGTTTTGTGAGACCAAATTAGGGTTGTCAGCTGGTTGGAACTGTTGGGAAAGGTGTGAGGAATGTTGGAGCGGTTGGAGGATATTTTTGGTCCCTTATGTCGCTAGAGCCGCTAGGTGCTTCAGCAGGTGCTCAATCAATTGGATCACAGGAACGTCCTGGTTGCCTGGACCAGGATAAGGCCAGATCAACATGGCAGATGCTGCGAGGGCAAGTGGTTTGACCCGTAGGATCTCTTCGCATCACAGATTTTAGGATGTTGACAAAATAGGAAGAAGACAGTTTTGATCATTCTGAAGGCTGTTGGTTATTAGCTACCTGTGTTGTTCGAGACATATTAAAGCGCTGGAAACATCTCGAAACATATGTGCCAAAGAAACGTAGGGTCCAGCTCTCGCCTCTAGAATTCGAGATTGTGGGTTTCTAATGGCCCCCTGAAAATTGAGGCCTACGATGACGGATTACTATCCCTACGGCAAGTCATTGGCGAACGCCTTGACTGCTGAAAATGCCACGGTGCGCGGCATGTACTTCTCGTTGGGAACTCAATCAGTCAGAGAACTAGACAACCCCTCTTTTCAAGCGGAGAAAGGAAAGGCAGATGCCATAATGACTGATGGTTCCTGTGAGTCAAAAAAATGAATCCATTTCATGTGAAGAAGTCCTGACAATGGATGCTGTAAATTGCTGTAATATTTGTCACATCAAACTTGACAGGGCTAGGAAGATGCTAGGAAGGTCTGAAGGTCTGAAGCACCTTGTGAGACCTTTGCCTCCACGATTTGACTGCACCTTGTGAGACCGGTGATCATCTCGTATCATTTGTGCTGCCTAGGCCACAGTTATTCCCGGAAGGCAGGCCAAGAGTTTTACATAGTTTTACTATGTTGTTGTTATATGTGTCGATTTCATTTTATTTCTATAATATAGAATCGAATGTCTTTGCAAATGTTGATTTCACAAGATGTACAATCTACACCAAAGAAATGATGTCGACGTTGTCAACGTAGCCTCGCATAGTCTTCTTCGATGTTTGTTAGTTACACAATTAGTTTCAAGATTTTCAAGTTGTAATTTATTGTAATTTACAGCAGTTGAGTGTTCAGTCGATCATTTGAGGTGGCCTCCGGACCTTTGTGATCCTGGAGGATGCTCAGGTGGAACTTGATGAGCCATCCATTGCCCAAGATCCAATTGCTTTGCCATGCTGTGCCATGCAGTGCCAGGAATCTACAACCTGTGGTGTTTTGGGATGTGCACTATGATATCACTTCACTACCATATACCGCCATCCACCTTGTATCAGCTTGTATCGCCTTGTATCACCTTGTATCACCTTATATGGAGGTGATGGCAAACAAGTTGCCCCTCCACTTCACTGTCCAAGCAGCGTGGGCCTAGGGAGATGGGAAGCATCCGAATAGCTTTTCCAATAGCGAAACAATGAAAAAGCTTGAAACAGAAGTTCAGCTTGTTCGCTTTCGTTCGGCCTGTTCGGCCTGTTCGGCCTGTTCGGCCTTCATGTGAGACAGGGGGAATGGTAAGAGCCAAGCTTGCAAGGAAACAGGTCAGCTCACAGGTGTGAATCAAACAATACCAGAATATCATATATAATATCCAATGATATAGTAATATCAAATGTGGGCCAACACATCATTGCCACTTCAGTGGTTTAGAATGGTTTAGAATTGTTAGAATCATCTCATGTTTTTGCACCTCAATCACCTCAAAGCCGATTGTTATTCGAAGCCTAGTTGGATCCTTCCAAGGATGGTGAAACGTTAGAGGCCGGAAAAACAGGGAAGACTTGCAAGCGTCGCTGGTGTTTGATGAATTGATGAATCAAGCATATGTTTTCGTATGTTTTCATTTGTTCATTTGTTCATGTTTATTCTTCTGCAATCAGCCGTTTGCGGCCAGGTTGATCTGAGCATCTACCAGGCTGGATGCCGCGATTGGGATTCTGCCGGTCGTTGCTTTACAAACACCTGTCATAGATCAGCCTTCGGGTCGGTGCACAAATAGAGGATCTTAGAGAAACATGCAAGCCTCGTGCATTTTGTTGCTTTCTCAAAACTCGGGCCATAGGCCATGGATGGCCATGGTATAGCATGGTTGGCTTATGTTCTCCTTCTGAAATGAGCTATAGATAGCTATAGCATGCTAAGCATGGGCATGCTACGGTGCTACGTGCTACAGAAAGATTGTAGTGACCGAGGCAGGAAGATGAACTGTGGAGCCAAGGCCACTGAGACGAGGTGCTGGTAAGGTGCCGGCGTCGCGACTACGAAAACCTTGCGGTTGCGGCGATGCCAACAGCAATCTCTGTTTCTGAGGGGTTGGCCATTGAGAGGTTGAACTTTCATGAAGTGCCATGGCAAAAATAACCAAATCCTTTCAAATCCTATCGCTTTGAAGGCCGATTCTCTCGTCTCAAGGGGATACAGCTTGTGAATCTCCAAAGCTGGTCTCCTTGGAGTAGCTGGTCACTGCCACAAACCAAGCACCAGCCGCTTCAATGGTTTGCACTGGTTCCAGTTCTTCAATAGTTTCATGCAGAAAGGTAACTTGAGGATTGGATTCAGGAATCCAGATGAACGTGCGTCCCGTTTCAACGACTAGGTTGGTGCTATTCATTTGGGTTGTGTTTGGCACGGCACAATTGACGATGCATGGCATCGCCAACGTTAAACCACAGCGCGTGGCGAGCAAAAGCTGGTGCCTTCACCTCTGCATTTTAGATATTTAGTTGTTGCCCACATGCCAAGATTTGATGATACTTTGAGTACATTTGATTACTTTTGATTACTTCATGGTGAACATCACCAGGTACAGTAATAGTATCGATGGGTCTCGTTTTGGTTTCTGGCCGACTTGCTTCTCAACCCTATTGCAGTTCTTCAAGTGGAGTTGGAAGGGTTTCTGTGAGAATTTCTGTGATTTTTTCTAAACGTTTTTACGTTCAATGTTAGTGGCCTCTTCTGCGCCTCGCAGGTTGAAGCTGCGGAAGGGCGATTTGCTAATTGCGGGCACTGACGGCCTCTTTGACAACATTGGGGACAGCCGTGCCCGCCGTCCCGTCCTGGGGCGATCTGGGGTGCTTTCATCCACGGGTCGTGGAGTTCTGAGTGAATAGATAAAAGTTGATAAAAGTTGAATATAGATAGATAGATAGATAGAGTATGATAGAGTATGATAGAGTGAATTACTGTAGATAAAAAATAGGCCCTAATTAGGTCCTATGATGGTCCTATTTCGATGGCAGAGGTCTCCCAGAGTTGTCCGTTGTCACATCTTTGTGTCACTGCATTGCACATGCATTGCATGTTTGAGATTTTGGATGATTTTGGTTGTGTCAATTTGTGTCATGGATTTTCATGCATCGGATACCCACAGTAATGCTGTGTTGGATACAATTCGATGCAGTAGTCTGTGAATTGTTGGAAAAGTGAAACCAGTGGATAACGATGGATAACGATGGACAGCGGCACACAAGAAATGCCAAAAACATTTCAATATGATCAAACATGGACGAACACCATTTCTATCCATTTCTATTCGGACAATCTGTAGCGACCTCATGGCCAACCTCGCCATGACATTCATCTTGGGAACAGCAAGAAATGACGTTACCAGACAAAATCGCCACCACGCCACAACGCCAGCCCACTTTGCGCCCAAAATTCGAACCGCGCCAACGAGAGACCGCGTTACCATCCAAAATCGCCACCGTGCCACGCCAGCCCAATTTGCGACCAAATTGGGACTGCGCCACAACGGGAGATCACGTTACGATCCAAAATGGCCACCGCAATTTGTCATTGCCACTTTTGGTTCTTTTGATTACCAGAGGGTATCCATTTGGCTACCGCTATGAGTTTGCGAATGTGCCATATGAGCGTTCCACTGTACCATCATGGCTTTGTCACCTTTGTGCAAAATATGCGGGATGGGCCTCTTTGGTGGGAAAAATGAATGGACATGATGTATCATGATGGGAAACATTAAGCATCTAATCATTCTACTCATTCTAATCACTGATTTTAGAACTTTCCCAGCTCTTTCCCAGCTTTCCCCAAAATCGACACACAAACCATCACAAACCCATGGCCCTTGTGTCTGAGAGGACCTGGAGCTGAAATCCATGGCCCTGGCACATCACAAGGGTCCGGCACTTTCCACATCTTTCCACAACGCACGCAGTGCACGCAGTGCTGTTTATGTTCAGTTATGTTCAGTTTATGGACTTCAGCTACTTCGTTCGAAAAGCCACACATCTCAATCATCTCAATTGATGTTGGTCGAATGAGAGGGTGGAAAATCTGCCGAATCATGCTAACACATGCTTATCCACCAAACATCCATGAATGAGTCCACTATCAATATCTATCAAGATCTATCAATCAAAGGTGGTCGTGGTCAAGCAATTAGTGGCCCTGGAATTTCAATGGACTGACCAGTCATTTGAAGCATTTTGAAGCATTTTGAAGCTATGATGGTCGTTTTACATTGCGATTCTCCCGACCAGGTCGAGACCGGTCGGCGCAAGCCCTCGCAGATACGTGGGCTGCCTCAAAAGAGACCTGCATTTTGTAATATGGAACATGGCAAAGTCGTAACAAAGTCCGAACAAAGTTGGAACTGGCAGGTGTTTGCCTTACGGATGTTTATCTCAAACTCGTTGCATGAATTTGCAAAACTCGAAGCAAATCAGATGGATGAACATCAAACCCCTCCTGAATCATGTGAGGCTTCTTCAACGTGCCGCTGATGCAGTGAGATGCTCAATCCCTCCGAACTCCGTGGTGTTTCAGAGATGGATCTCAATCATGTTTCTTGTACATCTTGTAGGATAGAATCATCTTAAGGTTGAAAGGTTAATGTTTTGGAAGTTGCTTTTAAAATGCTTTGAGATGTTTTGATTCATTAGATGCAGCGTCTTGAAGTTTGGATTGGAACTTGATGCAAATGTTCTAGTAACTAGTAGTGGGATCGAGACAACGGCCAGTTGGTGCACTGTCAATGGCATGATGACAACATGTCACCACGGTTCATCGGGCTCCCTCTATCCGCCAAAGTTTTTCAATGTTTTTCACGTGGTGGGAAACATGGGGGAAACGGTGTGAAACCTGAAGTCAGCTGAGGCACGAGCCCCTGCAGAGTTCGGCCCGGGTGGAAAGCCACTGAGCTGCGAGATATGTTGAAGAATTCATGAAAGGTCATTGGAGTCCCATTTGGAGTCCCATTTGGAGTATCATTTTTGCTGCTTGATGTTGCTTGAATCTTCTCCATTCTTCTCCCACATTCAGAGAATTTTAGAGACATGATTGATATGATGCTTGGAGTTCGTGCTAAAGTTGATATCCATCTTGCGCGCTTTCGTTTCACAGTTTCCAGTTGTTTCCAATCTGATGAAAACTCAAGGCTGGATGATATTGCCATTGTCGTTGCAGAGGCTTGGGCATTGTGACAGCTGGAGGGCCAACTTGGGTACTGCAACCAAGTTCAGCAAACGGCTGGTTTCTCTTAGACTCTTCAATACCACAGTTTGCCAAAGGTGGTGGAGACACTTCTCATTTCAATCAGAATAATACTTAGATTTCTTCTGTATTCTTCTGTCATTTTTTGTAGCATGTGAGTTATGTTGGATGACGTTGGATGATGTTGCAAAGTAAGTTTTCGAGGATTTACGCTTCCCTGAGGTGCAGACGGCTACACCCACCTTCCAGGGCACAATCCTCTCAAATACGGCTCGCTGGAAAGTTGAGGGGCCGTGGTTTTTAAACCCTAAACTCTAAGGCAGTTGTCAGCGTTTCCAACTGATACTTCTCATTGACCAAAAAGCAAGGGTCTTGACGGGAAACAGAGACAAAATATGACAAAATGATGAACAAATGAACAGCCTTGTGCTTGCTTCCATTTGAACCTGAATCTTTGAACAGCGGAGCACTGATTTCACGGTTGGGATAGGACCAAACAAGTTTCTCTATGACAGGCTGGCCGTTTGTAAGGGTGAGAATCTGTCTGGATTTATCCTGGCAACTAGGAAACACAAGTTGTAAACAAAGGTAAACAAAAGGATCAGATGCTCAAACTATATGCGTGATTACTTGTCCCGAAGCATCCCATCATTTGGTCCCTTTCGCCATAGTGCCAACTTACTCCGATTGTCAGGACGAATGAGCTGTGACTACATGGCCGCCCAGAAATCTTTGGATTAAAGTGATGTTGCAAAACCAGAACTTCACATGAACTAGATCTTGATATATCTTGAGAGATTAGATTATTTTGAATTCAGGGAGGCCAAAGCTTATGATCGCAATTTTCTCACGGTGCCGCCGGAGTTCTGGTTTCCAGAACTGAAGCGGCGCACCGAAGCGCTGTCCTGGAGCTTGAAGATGCGAAAGATGCAACTGAACGCAAGTAATACAAATGATGCAAATACGTGTTCAATACGTGTTCTTTTCTCAGAACCCAGGTGTTGTGAAGTGCCCGGACTTCGAAAGCAGTTGCGGGCTTCACTGTTCGAGGCTTCCTGGACTTGCTTCGTTATTGGAAAGAGCGCAAATGTCTTTGCAAAAAAAATGATGAAATAATGCGCAGTAAATGCGTGATGCAGAGGGCCTTTGAAGAAAGTGTTGTTAACGTAGCTGACAAGCCTTCAGAAGCATTGAAGCATTGAAAGAAGTCTGAGCAAAGCGTTTGGGTCCAGAATTTCTTGCTGCTGGTGTCATTAGCAGGCTCAAAAGTTACATGATATACACGAGACAGGCGGTTCCACATGATAGAAGTGCTGTCGGCCGTATCAGGCGAACCAGTTGCTGTTGTTAATGCACAAGAGTTTGAAGGTCAGCCAGTGAAGGTGCTGAAGAAATGCTTGGAGGCGCAGACTGGATTACCAAGATTCCGGCAGAGATTACTTTCGGCAGGAGGTGAAGAGATAACTGGCAATAGTATCTCTTTGTCTCATGATTTGCAGCTCCTTCTCTTGGAGTATTTGCCACCAGATGCTGAGCAAGACGAAAAACTTGCTGTAGCGTGCAGCGACAACAATGCTGAGGAAGTTGAAAAGCTGTTGTGTCAACCAAGAAATCCTAATGCCAAAATGAGGTCTGATGGCAGGACAGCGTTGCACTGTGCAGCGGAAAATGGCAACTTGGACTGTGCACGGTTGCTACTAGAAGCAGGTGCAGAGAGAGGAGCAAAAGCAAAAGGCAAAGCACCTTTGCACCTTGCAGCTTCAAATGGACATCCAGAAATGGTTCGGGTCCTGCTGGAAAGCGGTGCTGAGAAAGATGCAACAGAAAGATATGGAGCCACACCCTTGCACTTGGCAGCCAACAAAGGTCGCAGTG